GTTCCACACTAGCTGCCGTACCTGCACCCAACTATGGGGGATACCCATTTAAATCCTCTGGCTCCATTTCTGTAATACATATATTGCTTTTTGTTCTAGAACATTTGTATATTTTTTAACAAAATCAATTTTCTTCTTGTCAATAGTATATAAATAAGCTATTGGCAATTATTTTGCTAAATATTATTAGACTCCTTATTATAATATTTATTAGTGATAATAAATAGTTCAAATAAAGTATCTAAACCTTTTTAGTATCAATAGGAAGATATTATCCTAATATAGAATCTTGCTCTGCTATTATTTAACATAACCTGAAAATAATGTCTACAAATAATACCTTTATAAGACATGAGCAAAGATAAGTATTATTTTTTAATAACACAATATAGTGTTTTGTTGTTAATAAGTTTTCAATCTTAATCTTTTATAATTTACTAATATTATTTTGCTTAACAACTTCTAGTAATTGTTGTATAGTAGCTTTAGAGTTGTCAACACAATTATCATCAGTATCTGATACAATGACTTTAGTCTCATTATTAAATATAGTATCTTGAACAAATAAAAATACATTATAGTAAAGTGATTAGTTCATTTTATTGTGTTGTATCTTTAATATTATTGGTAATAAAAATTTTTGACAATACTTATCTATCTCTGTAAACAAAAAATTCACATACTTAATATTTTTAATTATTAGTATACTAAGTTTCCAATATTGATATTGATTTTGCTTGTCTTGTTAATCAAGAAGTTTGTATATTTTGCGTATAAGTTTACAAAAAGAAATATCAGAACTATTTAACAATCTTTTAGAATATGCATTTATGCTTTCAACTCTTAATATTGCAATCATACCCCTGGTAAATTTAAAATATATATATGAATAAGCCTAGAATTTCTTGAAATTATACAGACTTTTCAAATAAGGTTTACTTTTAGAATAATTATTAAATAGCTTTGTATATTGTTCATAAAATGTAGCTTGAGCTAAGCTATTTCTATATTAATAAAAATCTTTAAGAAAATTATTATATTGGTCTTCAATTAAGCTTTGTATATTCTTGTGAAAATTTTGTATTATATGAAATACACAGTGCTATGTACTTGAGAACACTTCTTTTACTGCAACATTGACTGCAGAATCTAAATCTGTAATAATTACTGTTAGGGTTGGTATGAATGGAATCGGACAATGGAAATCTGTCTGAAAAATAGTGTCCGAACTGTTCAACAAAAGCAATAAACATTGGACCGGACATATGAATGGTTATTAACCAATCAAATCATGCATTAGATAGACTAAAACGTAATTTATTAAACTCAAAATTTATGTAATACATACCAGATACAATTTATTAAGCAAAAGAAAGTAGAGACCAACTAGGATTTTTTTTTCCTGTTACAGCATTAGCACTCAAATAAAAACTTTTCTTGTGTAAAAATTATAAAGAATACGGAATTTCCTGTAAAATTTAGACTTAATAAAGCTTTAGGTGCAAAGTTTTTTTTTTTTTACTTCATTTTATACATTTAAAAACCAAAACTTATTTAGATTTACTTTATTTTTTTCCTTTTCTATATAACCATGTTTTTCTTTGTATTATCACTATTCAAAAAGCTTATTATTTTAAATAGACATACATACATTCATATGTATATGCTTGTTAAACAAATTTACTATGTATTACTATCACTAACATTTCTATATAATTCAAATATATATTATTCAAATAGAAAAGGTAAATTAGGTAAAAACAAATCATATAATTTCTATTTTGCAGCTTGATTTTCAGCAAGATGCGTTTCTGAATCAAGAAAATTAATATTGGCAATATCAAGATCATCTTGTTCTTCTTCAAACTCTTCATCAATTAATAATTCTTCCCACTTATTAATAGCGACATTCCAATCAATTTCTGAAGTAATTTCTTCATTTATATCATCTGTATTAGTCTCTTCAAATTCTAGATCTTGATTAGATAGCGAAGAACTAGCAGAAACTGGAGCAGCAGAGGAAGAGTAATCCGATTGACTATAATTAGGTTTGATCTTTTTTTTATGAGCTCGTAAGATTTCAGCACAGAGTTAACTCATTGCAACAACTTTTGTATCCTATAATAAAAAATGTTTAATATATTAAAATTTATAATTTAAATTAAATTTACCTTTAGTTTATTTCTTAACAGAGAATGCAAAAAGCCCATTGTTGAGAAAAGCCTTTCGACAGAAGCAGTTGTAACACATATGCCAAATAATTGGTATGCAATACAACACAGTTCTGGTGCAGCACCAGAATTATAAGACCACCAAAGAACTATATCTTTTTTAAAATAGTTAAAGATTTTTTCAGTAAAAGGATACTTTTGCTGTTTATAAAGTTCAAGTTCTCGAAGCAAACAATTTGGCTCAGTATCAAACCAAACTTTATAATAATATAATAACCATGCTCCTATGTAAGTAAAGTTAATATATTGTGTTTGATTAAAATAATTCAATTTATATAGGAAATAAAGAATAAAAGAAAGAATAAGCAATGGTTGTTCCCATATAGCCCACCTTTTTTCAAGTCTTTTAACCATTCTTGTTTGAAATTGAGATTCTTCAAGTTCTTTAAATATTTGTATAAAAAAACCGAAGGTATGTAAAACATTATGAAGGCAAGTATTGTCACGTTGCGTAAGATCAAGAGCTTCACAAAAAGGACAAAGTAATTTATGTAATATTGTAAGAGAATCCCAAAAAGGATCACGGTTAATAGCAATTTTAATTTCAGTTAGAAGCTTTAAATCATTGTCTGAGGCTACATCATCTTTGGTAACAAGAGTCTAAAAAAAAAAAAAATTTACAATAATTTTAAAATTAAAAATTTTAAAATTTAATTAAATAACTTACTTTTAATGAATGTTTATTCTTAAGAACACTATCAAAATATTCGAAATGACTGTTCCATCTTGTTATACTTGGAGTAATGAAATTAATATATTTTTTTAGAACACTTATTTGTTTATCGCGAAGTTTAGCCATGAAATATACAGAATAGTGAAAAAAAAAACAATATGAAGAGCATGTTTGCTTGTATTTTTGAATACTGTAGACTTTTTAAATATATCTCCAACACAACAATTTACCTGATATGCAAAACAAGGAATAAATACTTTATCATGTATTTCATGTCTTAAAAAATGACAAGTAGCTGCATAAGATCCAGCTGAATCAGTCACAAGACAATTAACTCTTATATCCAATTCTTTTGCTTGATTAAAAAGTGCATAAATTCTATTAATTACTTCTTCTTGTCTTTGTCTTTCTATACTAATATCTTCTGCTTCCCAAATTAAGGTTTCTCCCAAAGATGTAATAAATACTACACCCATTAGCTCCTGATTAACAACATTATGCCAACCATCAAAAGCAATCATGATACCAATTTTATCTTTACAAGCAAGATCCTTAATTGTTACTTGGACTTCATCAGTTGCACTTGTTAATATATGATTACTAAGTGATTTTCGATTTGGCAGTTTTAAATATGGAGAAATAAAGTAGAACATTTCTCTAACTTCAGAATTTTCAATCCACCAAAATGCAAATCCAGCTGAAACAGTTGCTCAAAGTACAAGACATTCAAATTTAGGAATTTCTGAAGCAGTAAGTGAACGACCAACATATTTGGATAATGTGGTTTGTTTTTTTAAAGTATTACTAGAAGCTAATGAATTAGATGTTATTCCAGAAGTTGAATCATTTTCATCTTCATCTTCTTCATCTGTATAAGATATCATTACCTGTTTGTTTGGTGGTGAAAGTGTAGCAGAATTGAGAATGAGTTGTATTTGTTCAGGTAAATACTTGGTGGCAAAATAAGGGCAGTCTCTAAGATGGTTGGCACAATAACGTTTGGTATTTGTAATTTTCAAATTATCATCTTTTAGAGCAAATTCTTTTCCTACCGCATCCATACAAGCTCGACAAATACATTTTCGGTTACTTTTATTTGCCCATTCGTTAGGAATAATATAAAAATATTCACTAAGAGAATGTGGTGGCTTGCCTTCTTTGCATTGCATAATTTGTATGAAACTAAGATACTAGATACAATCAATTAACAAAAGGTTTGGTGATTTAGCAAAAAAAAAAAGACACAGTAACTAACTTTATTAATAATAACTTCTTT